TCCCCGCGCCGCTGCCAGCGGCCTCGGCCCCTCCATCCTTCGGCGGGGAACGCGGGGTGACCCCTCTCCCGTGCCCCCACCGCCGAAAGCTGCCGGGAGTAGCGGCATTCGCATGGCCGCGCTCGGCCACGGCTCACCCCAGCGGGACTAATTTGTTGTAACTTCTGCTTTACAGCTTAATCTCTCTCTGCACAATCGCAAATGTTTTTTTTTTTTTCTGGTAAACCTCGCTCCTAACCTCGGCTCCCAAACCGCCGGCGCAATTTTTACCAACTATCCCCGCCCAGCCATCGCCTTAAAACAAAAAACAAAAACGGGGTGGGAGAGAAGGTAAAAAAGAAAAAAAAAAAAAACCAAAAAAACAAAAAAACCAAAAAAAAAACCAAAAAACTGCACAACCCAGCCTCCCATTAACCCACTCCCTTCCCCTGCCCGCCTCTAAAACCAAACCAAAAGAACAGAAACAAAAAAAAAAAGGGGGGGAAAGCAAAAAAAGAAACCAAACCAAACAAAAACAAAACAACCTTGCATTGCTCGAATTTTGAGAAAATGCCCGGATTCCCCTTAAACTCAACTTCTTGACTTATTTCTCCCGCATGAAGGTGGCCGCGACATGCAACGGCAAGGCTGACACTGGAGATGAAAAAGCCCCGGGGGCGGCGGACAGGTGAAGCCCCCCGAAATCCCCTGGCATCTGACAGGTTTCCAACTCCGTCCCTGCACCCGAACGGTCCTTGGGAAAGGGCTCTCCCTGGCCCCTGTGCCCATCCCGCAGGAAGGCAGGGTCAGTCCCACTGCAGCCCTTGCCCCAGCCCCCTGACGCTGCCGAGCCCAGGCTGGGCTTCACTGCTTGTTTTGTTCTTTTCAAGCCCTGCGCCTCCCACTCCCCACCCTCCAACACACACCCATTCCCGAGCGCTCGGGGAAAGCCACCCTTCCTCGGAGAAAACACCCCTCGGCGTTTCCCAGGGGCTCGAAGCCCCCTCCCCACCCTCTTAAGAGACGCGGGATAGACACTCGGTCACCCCTTCTTTCCCTTACTTGCATCCTAATGCCATACCCTAAAGGGAACTGACCTAAACGCTTTACGTTTGATGTCTTCCTGGGCTTGATTTCTTGGGTGTTTGCTCCACTGAATTGGCACTGGGGGAGTCTTCTGAAACCTCTTCTTCTGTTGTGTTGGCTCTTTTATTTTGAGGAGAGGAATCTAGGAGGGGAAAATTAAAAACGAGGGGGACGGAGGGGGAGGGGGGAGATATTAAAATATTTTTCTTCCAGATGTATGCTCGGCATCCAAGGGGGATAGAGGGAGCCGGGGGGAATATTCCCGGATCCCATGTCAGGTATCGGCTGCGTGAAGCGATCAGGGGGTGGGGAGTTGGGCTTCTCCCTGGATAGGAGATCTAAGTTCCCTATTTTCGTTTAAAATCCATATTCGTCTTCTGCTGGGCGCTGTGCACCTCCTCCCACCTGGGCAGGAGCCCGGGTCCCTACAGTGGGGCGGCGAGGGGTCGGGGGATCTGACCCGCGTCTAAGGGCTCTTCCGTGCAAATAATCTACCAGCTCCCACTCTAGGCGGGCCCCCCGGGACTGCAAACACTACCCGGGCTTTTTTAGGGGGAAAAGGGAGGGGAGGATACGCCGAGCTGGTGCTAGGCGTGGCAGGGGCGGAGGGGCCGGAGCCCCGGCGCTGACACGAGTGGGACGCGGGGCAGAGCCGTGGGGTACGTTACCGTCGGCCGCGGGTCTTTTCCTCTGGGCAATGCACTGCTCTGCTAAGTCCGTCTGATTTTCTGAAACATCAGTCTTTTGAGCTACACAGTGAGTGTCCTCTGAGATTCCCTGAGAACCGACAAAAACCACGGTTTGGCAATTCCCGTTTACATCCAAGCTCTGGCGGCCGGCGGACTTGCAGACGGCTTTCCGTAGCCTGGGGGGTCTGAAGTAGAAGTCGGGCGAGCTCCCTTTTTCCACGGCTTGCCACTCGTACCTGCCTTCCAGCGGCCTGTGATTCTGGAAATCGAAATTCCACTTCCTCTGGTACGCCTCCTCCATCTCCTGCAGGTGTTTCTTCAACTCCCTGTTGAGCTCTTCGTGGTTCACCGGCCCGAAGAGGTTCCTGCACGCAGACGGCTTCGGGTACTCCGACTGTCTGGCCTCCATGCGCTCCAGGGTAGGGCTCCCATTAGAAATGCGGACGTTTGACATCTCCCCGCACGCTGTGGCTCCAGGCGGGGGTTGTTGTGCTCGCTGCTCTCTCTATCCGCGGCCGCCGCCGCCTCTCCGCCGCCCTTTATTTCCCGGCGCCCGGCGGCTC